ATACAGGCATGGACACAACCAAAATCATCATACAAGAGAATGCGCCCTATAAATACTTTGCTTTTTGTGATACTGGCTTGCACACCTCTTTTCCATGATGGACAACAAATCTAACTTAAAAAACAGAGAAAAGGCTGCGCCACAGAAAATAAAACAAAAAAAGTCCAGTACTAAATAAAAAAGTTCTGTAAAGGAGTCCCAGTAATAGGTGGTATCTCAACTGATGTGGTGTCTTCTTTGTTAACAGTTGTCCATCTCACGATATGAAAAACACAATGGGAAAGGACTAATCGTGCAGAGTGTATATATAAATAGTAGTGAGATTAAAATATAAATTGTACACTCACATGTCCATGAGCTAGGACCAGCTCTAGTATGATAGGCACACAGCGGATTGCCCTCCGCTTATAGGGGTACTTGTCCTCCTGGGGGGTGCTGGTGTCCAATTCTCATAAAAATAAATAAAAACAGCCAATAGTGCTCTCCGGTGAGGTAGTTAGCGTGAAAGAATAAAATAAATAAAATATACTCACAAATAGAGTGCAGGTCTTTCTGCACTCTGTTAATCGCGTGGGTGGTATAATCCCCACCTTAGGATATGCCAGGAACAGTAAATAGAAATAAAATAGTATAAAAAGGTAATATATGTAAAATTATTTATTAGTACAATATATTAAAACCAATAACGCGTTTCGCCAGCAGGCTTTATCAAATTGGAATTCCAATTTGATAAAGCCTGCTGGCGAAACGCGTTATTGGTTTTAATATATTGTACTAATAAATAATTTTACATATATTACCTTTTTATACTATTTTATTTCTATTTACTGTTCCTGGCATATCCTAAGGTGGGGATTATACCACCCACGCGATTAACAGAGTGCAGAAAGACCTGCACTCTATTTGTGAGTATATTTTATTTATTTTATTCTTTCACGCTAACTACCTCACCGGAGAGCACTATTGGCTGTTTTTATTTATTTTTATGAGAATTGGACACCAGCACCCCCCAGGAGGACAAGTACCCCTATAAGCGGAGGGCAATCCGCTGTGTGCCTATCATACTAGAGCTGGTCCTAGCTCATGGACATGTGAGTGTACAATTTATATTTTAATCTCACTACTATTTATATATACACTCTGCACGATTAGTCCTTTCCCATTGTGTTTTTCATATCGTGAGATGGACAACTGTTAACAAAGAAGACACCACATCAGTTGAGATACCACCTATTACTGGGACTCCTTTACAGAACTTTTTTATTTAGTACTGGACTTTTTTTGTTTTATTTTCTGTGGCGCAGCCTTTTCTCTGTTTTTGTGTATACTCCTATTATAGAGGGTTAGAGGGTGACCCCCTATTAGGTTGCTGCCTTTTATTTTATTTTATTTTATCTGTTTTTATTATTAGCGCTAGCCGTTTTACTTTTCTTTGAACAAATCTAACTTACCTTACCAGACCTTGGAATGTGTTGATCTACTTGACAATATGTTTAAAAAATAATATTTTTGCATAATGGGACAGTACCATGAATATTTTTTTTTTATCAACAGACTAGGTTGCATGCACATGATTTGATTAGATCATTTTCATGTTCAAAGGTTTAATCAGAGACCACTGTTTCTTTCTGGTACAAGTCACTTATAAAAGTGTGTAATTAAAGGATAGCAAGTTGAAATCTTTATTCTGTTGTGAAGTAAGCAGAATTATTGTAAAATTAACAATCCCATTCAGTTTTCCCCATGAGTGTTATAAGGCAAGCAGGTTGCTGTAAAATTAACAGCTGAATTCTGGCTTTTACAATTCCAGGAAAGATGAGGAGACATCAGTAGATAAACTTAAAAGGACACTCTAAGAACCCAAACGAATACATCTTAATATAGTGGATTTGGTACACAGGCGCTATCCTTTTACTCGGACAATGTAAAACACTACTTCTGAGAAAAGCTAAAGGTTACATTTACACAAAATACGCCTCTAGTGGCTGTCAGAGAAACAGCCACTAAAAGTACTTCTATCTTATGACTTTTTATTTTTAAAATGCTTCAAGTTTGGAGGCTTCATTTACAGCGTGATGACAACAAGCGCGTCCGATGCATCTCATAGTGAAGCATTAACTTCAGTGCTTCTGAATGAGAAGCATGGCAACTGACTAAGCTGCACTGCAGACCTGGATTAGACCAGAATGTATCAATCCAGATGATCTCCTGGTGCGTGAAGCAGCCTCGTCATTGAATTACAGGTAGGTTTAATTGCTTTGTTATACTTTTTTTTATTTTCACAAAGGTGGGCCGTAAATCAAATTAAAAAATAACACTGAAACATTTAAAAAAATCTGTGTTTTTTGGTAAAATTTTTTTTATTATAGACACTCTCATTTTGCAGAGTTTCTAGTGGTACGTTCTTCAGCTCCTAAGCAGTAATTATGTATTAAAAGAACAATAGATGCAGATAAAGTAATATCCTAAATCCTCTATAAATAATCACTAAGTCCTCCTCTTAAATACACAGTATAATTATGGCCAGCGGTTCATGGGCATGACATTATGGAACTGGAAAGGTCTCAAATACAGTATCAGTATGAATTCAATAAAATAAAAGCAATGAGGACAGGGTTTCTGAAACTAGAGAAAAGATGCTTACAGAGGAATTTGATTGCTATATGCAAGTATATTCAAGGTCATTACAAGGACATCTTGCTCATACAATAGAGCTTTATAGACTATAGTAGAGTATCCTTGGTGACTATGGGAAAGGAAAATGAATAACAATTCCGGGCAATTGAGGAATGACAATAATTGTCAAATAAGTTGTCTTTGTTAAATTAACCTGAATTAGCTGCTCTAGAGTTATATTATGACGGAAACCTTAAATTAATTGGAATAAAGTAAGAATAAAGTAAGAGGATTTCAGTATTCTAATCAGATGTTTATAAAAATTGGGGTTATTTACTAAACCTTAAATTGTCTAGTATTAACCAGGAACTGGCAACTTTTACAGCAGAGTAACTACAAAAAAACAAATCTATTTTTTAATTTTGGCTTTTCAGGTCTAACATTTTAAATTCGTCTCTTGATTATCTATAATTCTTGTAAGTAATGAATAAAGTTATTGTTTCCTATAACTCATGTAAAAAAAAAAACGTGCACAGACTGTAGCAGTGTCCTGCTTGTGTGACTGACAACTGTGTGAAATGTTACACGTGCTGCTCTTGTCGTGCGAGAGACAAAGCTTTATTTAGTTTATGCTAAAAATATTATACAGTACATTATTATACAGTACGATCATCTATCAACACAGAGGAATGTTGATTTCAATCCCTTAGGCAATCCTCTCAATAACAGTTTCTCTGACACAGGATTATTAATATTTGGAATGCTATGTTGATTTAATTTTCACTGCATTCACTATTAATGACAAAACCATCAAACTCAGATAAAGAATCTAACACGTCCGAGAGGTGTGGGGGGTGGGTGGGGGGAGTTTTGTGGGTTTCAGTACGTCAGACGGGCTGCTTACATCTGCACTTTTATGATTGATCGTTGGACGTTACTGGGCTCATAATCAGCCACTTTTTCACATGCCACTTAATCCTCATGGACAGCCAGTCCCAATGTTTAATTATCATCTCTTTTCTTTTCTTGTTTGGCAAGGATATTGATTTCAGTACACATAAAAAAATCATTTTTATTTTCATGTTTTATGTCATTTTTTTTTTCTTGAGTTCATCATAATGTCATCCTTGCTGTGGTTATATTTTATTATTCTAATTACTTCATCAGTTTTTTTGTTCTATAATCACCTTCTTCCTGCCCTATTTTTCATAAAAGTTACATGGTCTTCACCCCATTTGCTGGATCCGAGGAAGCCATCAGTAAACGTTAACCCACAATATCTGTTGACAACTGTGGATAATCTATAATGTTATGTGTGTGTGTCCATTTAATTTCACTCACTGGGTCTGATGATTAGTCTGTATGATCAAAAAGCAATCACAAAGGAAACAAAAACATTGTTTAGTATTAGTTTCACCCTGTGGGGCAAACTATGTCCAGTCTTGATGTCCCCTATAATACGGTATGACAATGCACGCAACACATTGCTAACACAGTTATTTCATGACCACAACAGCTAAGTTCTGGAGCAGATTCCACGTCCTTCATCCGTCAAAGAAGTGGAGGCCTTTTTTCTGGAAGAAATTTGAAATATTATGCTATATACAGTACAAGGCTTGTACAGCACAGCTAGGGGAGTGGGTCTTGACAGAGCCAGGAGGTAGGCAAAGCAACCAGTTTAAATTAAGTGGCAGTTGGTGATTGGGGCGAGGTTTATCAGGAGTATATACAGGGCCGTCTTTAATACTGATTGGACCCTGGGCAAGAATTTACTTGGGCCCCCTGGATCCCACCTTCCCACACCATAGCATGCAATCACGCCCTCCACCACAACACATACACACATACCAAAAAAAACACACAAAAAAAAAAAAAACTCGTAGAGTAGTAAACTTTAATAATGTAAACATAAAAAACTGGTTCACAAATAAGTCCTTAGCTTGACCTACTTGCCACCTGTAGCTTCTTTTAACCTCGGTCTTATGGTACATTTTTATTAAAAGTTATACATTGTTGGAAGAACAAGCATAATAACAATATCTTTCAGTAACAGTGCAAATCAACATTATGTTTAAATTATAAAATAAATAACCATGTTGGCTAGTAATATCACAAAAAATAAATAAATAAAATACAACAATTAACAGTGCAATTAAATAAACAATATTAAACCTTATTGTATAATCCAAGTGCACATTTCCCATTCCAAAATGGAGAATAGGGAATCAAGTACCAGTGTTAAATGGTCAACCTTATTATAATTCCTGTTAGGCACCAACTGCTGCAGTAGCAGACTGTTATAAAAGAATGCATAGTTTAACAACCATTAACGTAAAGTGCAGAGAACTTTTACATAAAATAGTAAATAAATATTTTAGTGCAATTTAAACAATGAGTCTACGTGCTTTCTGCGCAGCAAAGGTCTTTGTAATGTTGGAAAAATCAAGACCGCGAAGTATATCAGATTCAGCAGACATTATAGATAGTTTGGTGAGACGGCTCTGGCTCATGGTTGTGCGTTGTAAGTTTTTGATCAATTTCATTTTTGAAAAAGATCGTTCACCTGAACTGTTAGAGATCATTAAAGTTAGGTAGATTTTTAAAGCAATTTCCGTGTTCGGAAAAGTATCTCTTACATCCTTGTCATTAATTGTATTGTACATGAATTGCTCTATGCTGCAATCGTCTGGTTTTTCATCCAGGAAAAGAGAAATGAATGACTGAAATTGAATTAGTTCATCACCAAATGTTGTGCCCAGATCATGCTTGTAGAAAGCAGACAACTTTTCTGCTGCAATGTTAATGGATTCAGAGTCCATCGCTGGAAAGTTTATAAAGAAACCAAATAAATCACACACTTCACTGTAGGCTCCTAGGCGATGTTCCAGACACATTAAAAGTTTGTCAACACAGGGGAGAAAGGCCTTAGCATAAAAGGCCTCCTTTGGCGTTAATTGAGCTTCTTCACTGTGTCCATAGTCAAGTGGCTGCTGACGGACATTCCGACGTTGAAGACGGCGGTGTTCCACAATATACTCCTCAGTATCTGTTAGACGCTTGCCAGCTTCTTCAAATGCATCAAATTTAGTACGCTGTTCATTAATAAAATCTTTTAACGATTTCAAAACACCAACAGCAGCATTTAGGTTCAGCTGAACAGACTGCAGAGTTTTGCTGCTGCTGTTGAAACGCTGCAAAACAGTGTTCCAGAATTCTGCAAAAATCCCTGTCTCAAGTTTGCTTATTTGATAAAATAGTCCCTTTGCAGTATTACGGCACTCGATTTTTCTTCAATGTCAGTTGCAAATTCAAACAAAATGTCCATTATATTGTCATAGCCATGGACTAATGCTTGACAAGCATCTGCACGACATGACCAGCGTGTGTCACTTAGCTTTTTTGGCATGGACACAGAGAGGCCTCTCATATCAAGCTGGTCTTTAAGCTTCTTGTAGCGCCGAGTTGAACCACTAAAGAATGTATAAAGAGCTTGTACAAAATTAAAAAATGTTACAGCCTCACTACACGAATTTGCAGCATCCTTTCCAACAAGATTTAATGAGTGTCCAAAACAAGGTATGTACTTAGCATATTTATTCATGTTAAGAATTCTTGCTTGCATACCCTTGTAGTGGCCAGACATGTTGCTTGCATTGTCGTAACTTTGTCCCCGGCATTCTTGTATGGTAAGTCCAACGCTATTAAGAAATGCTAGGAGCGCATCTGCCATTTCTTCTCCTTTATGCCCTGTTGAGGGTAAAAAAGTAACAAAACGCTCCACAGGTCGATTTTCTTCTAAGTATCGAATAATCACGGTGAGTTGGTCAGTATGAGAAGAATCCTCTGCTGAATCCACAGAAACAGAGTAGTATTTTGCCATTTTAATACGGTTGATGACAACTTCTAAGATCTTATCCCCAGTAATTTGTATGAGTTCCTCACAGACATTTGCTGATAAATAACTTGTACATCCTTTGCCTTTGTTTGCCTTTGTTTGGATGTGTTGTGCTAGGAAAGCGTCATACTCTGACAGTAATTCCAAAATACCGAGATAGTTGCCATTATGTGGGGATCCAATAGTCTGATCATCACCTCTAAAAGCCAATCCTCTCTCAGCAAGAAAAACGATGACACTAAGCAAACGTTTTACTAGGTTTTGCCCATAGGTGGTCAGCTCTTCAATTTGCTGTTGCATTTTATAGTCAATCCGACCTTCCAGTTTTGAAAATTTGGCTGTATCAATCACAGCGCGTATATGATGTTGAGACTGTTCATGGGATGAAATTCGTTCACTGGCATGTTTCCAGTCGCTGAAGCCATCACTGGAAAATGCATTTGTTGATGAACTAAATAATTTGCAGTCAAAACAGTATATTCGGCCTGTGTTATTTGAGTAACAAAGCCACTTCCTTTCAACTTTGTCCCCATTGGGACAGTTACGAAGAAACATATCTGCTGTACAGCAACGTCCATCTTTAAATGATTTTGGAAATCCTTCATTGCGCAGTTTTTCCAGAGGTTTCCTTACTGACGAATTTCCATTTTTGGACCAATACTCCCGCATCTCAAGAGTAGATGAGTTGGGCCACAAACCAATGTCAGTTAGGAAACCTGACTTTTCCATGGATTTTGGCGGTATATCAACTGCTTCAGCAGTTGCGTCTTGTATTTCAACAGTATGGAAGCTAGGTTTCTCAACTTCCATGGGAACTGGAGTGGTTTCTAGTGACATGGGCTGTTCAGAGGAATCCACTGTGTTGACTTCAGAGCCATATTCTGATACACTTTGAGGAGGAATCTCTTCCTGAGAACATGTACTAGCATGTTCTTTAGAAGATCCACACGCAGAAGGCTGTGCAGAAGATCCACTTGTAGGTAAAAGAAAACCAGTTATTTTTGGAATTCTACATATTTTTTCCTCCAACTCCTGCTTCTTCTTCCGCTTCTGAGCACCACTCAGAGGTTTGGACATGTTGAGGGCAGTCAGGTTCCTGAATAAATAAACGCGATTGACACTTCCATAAACAAAAGTCAATAGAGTGAAAATGCATATATTTTAATAGGATTTTTGCATATTTAAAATGTTGATGTTACAGCCAAGCATGCTGTTTAACTTACTACAGATGCAAAGTTCCCACAGAAGGCATCTAACGAGAGCATGCGCCACACCAATCCCCTTCCTCCTCTCGCTGTTCTTCCATGCTTTGTCTGCTCTTCCCTTCTGTAGCTGTGCTCATGACTGTTGCATGGATCTTCTCTCTGACGGGTTAAGACTCCAGTGCATGCATGTATACACGCAAGAGTAAATGTGCACACCAGTGAAGCTTCCTCTTCTTTCATCAAACGATTTCGTCCAACATTAAACGACCACTATAGGCACCCAAACCACTTCAGCGCAATGAAGTGGTCTGGGTGCCAGGTCCATCTATGGTTAACCCTGCAACTGTACACATAGCAGTTTCAGATAAACTAGTATGTTTACAATAGGGTTAATCCAGCCTCTAGTGGCTGTCTCATTGTCAGCCGCTAGAGACGCTTCTCACTGTGAAAATCACAGTGAGAAGACGCTAAAGTCCATAGGAAAGCATTGAGAAATGCTTTCCTATGGACTGATTGAACGTGCGTGTGGCTCTTGCAGCACATGTGCATTCAGCGCTGACATCGGAAGAGGGAGGAGAGTTCCCCAGCACCGAGGGAGCCCAGCGCTGGAGAAATGTAAGAGTTTAACCGCTTCCTCCCCTTCAGCCTGGCGAGAGTGGGACCCTGAGGGTGGGGGGGACCTAAAGACGCTATAGTGCTAGGAAAATGAGTTTGTTTTCCTAGCACTATAGTGGTCCTTTAATACAACTTACAGTAATGTGAAGTGTATCGCACGGCTCCACAGCAATACAACTCACAGTGATGTGCAAGTACATCACAGATCACCTCAGAATAAAATGCATAGAAAAGTGGAGTGTGTGAGTATCACAAGCTCTACAGCAATATAACTCACAGGAACGTACAATTTGTGAGTGTATTACAGATCATCTCTTTAATACAATGCACATGAATGTCACGTCACATATATGCACATGTATATCATACCCAACCCACTGCTTTCCCATAGAGAAGCATTGGGAGGCTACTACGCATGCGTGGCCTCAGAGATGCTTTGAATCAATGCATTTCTATGAGGAGTGTTTAGCGCGAATACCAGTGTTGCACGTTGTGCAACACTGGATTAAGAAGCACCTCTAGTGGCCGTCTGATGAGTGGCCACTAGAGGTATTCCTCAGCAGTAATGTAAATACTGCCTTTTTTTCTGAAAAGGCAGTGTTTACATTAACCCCTTAAGGACGGAGCCAAATGTATACGTTGTGAGCAAAACAAAATGTAAACAAAACCTGGCATTTGCGCTACATGTCTGTCCAACCGTAATTCACCTCTTTCATAGTAAATGCACCCACCCTTATTATATATCATTTTATTCAGGGGAAACAGGGCTTTCATTTAATATCAAATATTTAGCTATGAAACATAATTTAATATGAAAAAAATGGGAGAAAATACGATTTTTTTAGTTCTACATGACATTTTAACGGTCAATGTCATAATACTGTTTGCTTTTACTGCAATAAAATACACATATTTGTATTCAGCAAAGTCTCACGTGTAAGACAGTACCCCCTATGTACAGGTTTTATGGCGTTTTGGGAAGTTACAGGGTCAAATATAGCACGTTACATTTGAAATTGAAATTCGCCAGATTGGTTACGTTGCCTTTGAGACTGTATAGTAGCCAGGGAATGAAATTTACACCCATAATGGCATACCATTTGCAATAGTAGACAACCCAAGGTATTGCAAATGGGGTATGTCCAGTCTTTTTTTGTAGCCATTTGGTCACAAACACTGGCCAAAGTTAGCGTTAGTATTTGTTTGTTTGTGAAAAATGCAAATAACGCCAATTTTGGCCAGTGTTTGTGACTAAGTGGCTACTAAAAAAAGACTGGACATACCCTGTTTGCAATACCTTGGGTTGTCTACTATTGCAAATGGTATGCCATCATAGGGGTAATTTTCAAAACAGTAAAAAGTATCACAGCAATAATATTGTCCGTGTAATGCTGTTTGTGTGTGAAAAATGCAAAAAACGTCACTTTTACTGGCGATATCATCGTTGTAATACATTTTACTGTTTTGAAACACTAATATTTGTGTTCAGCGAGTAGAACAGTACCCCCCATGTACAGGTTTTATGGTGTCTCGGAAAGTTATAGGGTTAAATATAGTGCTAGCAAATTAAATTCCCTTTACTTTCGGCATGGGTTGTCAGGCAGGTCCTGCTAATTGTAATTAAGATACCTAATTATGTAAAAATATTACATAAATATATATGTAGAATTAATATATGTATATATACGTATGTGTATATATCTATATAATTTTTTTAAAATATTTTTATTTATATATAGGTATATATATATAGTGATATTTATGTATATAGATATATATATTATTTCGTTCTACGTGTATTTTGATATATATATATATATATATATATATATATATATATATTAATTTCACAATACAGTTAGAACGAAATAACACACCTACCGTATTTTTCGCTCCATAAGACGCACTTTTTTTCCCCTCAAAAGTGAGGGGAAATGTCTGTGCGTCTTATGGAGCGAATGTGAAGATTTACTTACCTGTCTTGTAGCGTGGGCCGGCAGCACAGTGCGCTCCGCGGTACAGGAACTTCAATTTCAGGTTCCGGTTTCCGGCGGGACTGAAAGGAAGTGCACACTCGGTGTGCACACTTCCTTTCAGTCCCGCCGGAAACCGGAACCTGAAATAGAAGTTCCTGGACCGCGGAGCGCGCTGTGAAGCCGGCCCACGCTCCAAGACAGGTAAGTAATTATGGGACAAGGGGAGGGGAGACACTATGGGAGAAAGGGAGGGGGACACTATGGGAGAAAGGGAGGGGAGGAGACACTATGGGACAAGGGGAGGGGAGGAGACACTATGGGACAAGGGGAGGGGAGGAGACACTATGGGAAAAGGGGAGGGGGACACTATGGGAGAAAGGGAGGAGAGACACTATGGGACAAGGGGAGGGGGGACACTATGGGACAAGGGGAGGGGGAGACACTATGGGACAAGGGCAGGGGGGGACACTATGGGAGGGAAAGTGCACTATGGGACAATGGGAGGGGGGACACTATGGGATCAGAACACTAATGGACAAGGGGAGGAGGGGTTAAAGAACACTATGGGACAGGGTAGGAGGGGTTAATCACTATGGGACAGGGGAGTAGGGGTTAACAATCACTATGGGACAGGGGAGTAGGGGTTAACAATCACTATGGGACAGGGGAGGAGGGGTTAACAGTCACTATGGGACAGGGGAGGAGGGGTTAACAGTCACTATGGGACAGGGGAGGAGAGGGGTTAAAGATCATTATGGGACAGGGGAGAAAAAAAAATATTCTGAACAAACTGTCCCATAGTAAGAAACACTATGGAACAGTTTGTTCAGAATATTTTTTTTTCTTGGTTTCCTCCTCTAAAAACTAGGTGCGTCTTATGGTGAGGTGCGTCTTATGGAGCGAAAAATACGGTATATATTTTTTATTTATTTTTAATTATTTTTTTAATTTTATTTTTTAACGTATTTACATTTTTATTTTTTTTATATTATATATAAATATATATATAACAATAATTATATATATATTTAATCAGTATCAGTCTACGTGTAATTTGATATTTATATATATATATATATATATATATATATATATTTTAATAGTAAAATACACCTAGACGGTGTACGTGTGTGTATGTATATATGTGTGTATATATATATATATATATATATATATATATATACTAAGATCATATATATATATATATATATATATATATATATGATCTAAGTATATATTATTTTTTTTTTACACTATTTATTTATTTTAATTTTATTTTCAGCCAGCATGGGGACCACCTGTCATTACAGGCAGCCCCCCTGCTGGCAATGCAGGAGGCAGCTACCCCCAGCCATGTGATTGTGGGGTCCTCGCAAGGACCCCACTCTCACATGGCCGGGGGGCTTCGAGGGGGACGGACTTGCCGCGTGGAGCTCCATGGGAGTCCCCTCCACCGCGATCGCCGGCGTGGGATCGCCGGCGACCGGGTAAGTACCGAAAGACCGGAGGGCGTACTATTACGCCCGGCGGCGTTTAGAGCCGCTTAGAATAGGGCGTAATAGTACGCCCTCCGGTCTTAAGGGGTTAAAAAGCCTGCAGAGACATGTTATAGACACCAGAACTACTACGTTTAGCTGTTGTGGTTCTGGTGACTATAGTGTCCCTTGAAAATAGAGGGGAAAAAAAATCATCACAAAAGTATTAAATAAAATGGCTGTATCATTATTATAAAAATTAAAAAAGCAAAATTTCTGACACAAATATATAGTATTTAACAGATTATTTTTAACAATGTCATAGTACTGTACTACTAACCCCTCCATCCACCCTTCCCCCTCCCCTCTAACCACCCCTCACCACCCCTCTAACCACCCTTCCCCCTCCCCTCTAACCACCTTTACTCCCATAAAACAATATATATTACAGTAACTAACTAATGTAAATACTTACAGTTGTGAAGACTCCAGCAGGCTCAGGATCAGTTGGGCAGCTGGGCTCAAGGCTGGAGTGGGTGCCGACCTGCAGTTCCGTTCCGGATGGCGCAGCTCTGCCGTTCACGATGGTGCCGCGCTGCAGTTCGGGAAGGAGGCGGAGTCACGGCAACGCTCACCCTAGCGTTGCCGTGACTCCGCCTCCGCGTGACGTCACCGTGCGCGGCATACGCAAATGGCAGAGGAGGTCGGGAGGCGGAGCAACAAGTAAGGTCCTTCACTATGCGGCAATGCCGCTCGCATAGTGAAGGAAGGATAACTGTCTTCGGGACACGGATTTGTGGGCAGTGGCCAGCGGGGCTCAAGAGGCAGCTGCCTTGGGCCCCCCAGGAGCAACTGGGCCCGGGGCAGCTGCCCCTTTTGCCCCGCGTTAAAGACGGCCCTGAGTATATATATCGGCCATTTTATGAAGTGGCCATTTTAACTAAACCTACACTTACCTGTTAGTTGTCTCTCAGGTGTAGGTAGGTTCAGTTCCAGCTCGGAGGAGAAGGAGGAACCCATCGCCTGTAGCTGCTAACCGGGATGGAGTTTCAGGAGCGAGCCGTGTGGTGT